CAAGGGGCGTCATCTGGAGATATCATGGTTAAAGAATTCTATAAGGGAACAATTGTTTATTGGAAGATAAATGCTTTTTGGAAACAGGAAGTTCTTCTTTTCTGAGAAGTGGAATGTTATCATTTGGAAGGCTTAAAAAAGTTTTGGATACCTGTATTTGATAGCCTGTTGGAAGGTTAAGGAACTTTTGGGTACTTGTAGTTGATTACCTGTTGGAATGTTGAGGAAGTTTGGGTAGTTGTGTTTGACTGACCTTAAGACTTTTGAACTGGAGAATACATGTGCCGAATTTTGAGTGATTGGAGTTTCTCTTTTTCTTTTCCCCTTTTTTTCAATGAAATGATATAAAGTAATTAAAGAAGAAGGCATGATTGAAGAGGAAACAAAACAGATAGCATGAGAATATGCAGAATTTGGAAGGCAAAACAATACCAAAAAAATATTGGAGCTTCGTCAAATTATTATCCAAACGTGAGGTAGGCATAAGAACTGCTCTCTCTCATGAACCACTGATAGTTGCGGGCTAATTCACGAACAGAAAGAAGTTTTGATTTAAGAAATGGTTTTGAAATAGGGAATTAGGATTAAACTACACTAATTATGCAAATGAAAATGCAAAGAAAAGCAAAAGAGATGAACTTACATAGAAACCGGACCCACAGACCCGAGACCCTGTGTTGGTGGTCTAGCTCATACCTGAGATTGTTGCGACAACCTATTTCACCTCTTAGAGTTCGCTAATTGAGATTGAACAGTGGTAAGGTTGAGTTGGTACTAACTTTTATTTGAATTGGATACTAAGCCTAGGGTCCATGTATGCAACTGAGAATCTATAATTTGATTAGTGGCTTGTGATATATATTGACTAGGATAAGATTTCAGATGTTCAAAGTAGGCTCAAGGGTCTATAAGAGGGAAAATTAAGGTTCTTGGCTTTAGGGTTTCTAAGGGTTTGGAATTAAGTGTGTAGAGTGGAAGGGCTTCGCCTAATTCTCTAAAGTTTGGATCCCTAATGCTATGGGTGAGGGTCTATATTTATAGGCTAGGACCTAATGGCTCCTACAAGTGGCGACGCAATCTGGTCCGTTGATCAACAACGAAACACAAGATTACACTAAAGTAAATATCTCAAATGCGTTCGTAAATAAGTGTTACACAGACACGGTGGACCCCACAATTTTGCGGTTTCTTGTCACCTGGCATGTTGTGTTTGTTGGGATCTTTCAACATGTAAATGAGTCATTTTAGGTGCATTTTAGTGGTGGTAATGGGTTTAAATAAGGAGTTTTAAGGGTCATAAGAGTGAGGTCAAACTAAGGTTTAGTAGGGGTTATAGTGTTATTAGGGTTTGACCTAGGATTAAAGGTGTTGGCCCATGTTTAAACTAATTTAGGTAAGTTTTAGATTGGTTCAGGCCATTTTAGGTAGGTTTAGGCTTCTTTTATCAAGTTTAAAGATTATTTAGGCTTGATTAGGAAGGCTTAGGGAGGTCAAGTGCTCATTTAGCAAGGTTTAAGATGGTTTAGTGGACTAAGCTAGTTGAACTAATTCAGTTAAGTTTTAAATGTGGGAGTTCATTCTATGAGCTATGGTGTATGGGGAATAGTGGTCCTAAGGCGTATTGAAATAATATGGTCCCTAGTCTAGTTTTAGGCTGAAAGATAGGTTCTCTGTGGGGTGAATTTCAGGGTTTTGATTAGGGGTTGGTCTAGGAAAAGTTTAGGCCTATACTCAAGGTTTCCATGGTCTTGGTTCAGGAAGTCCTTCAATTGAGAATGGGGTGTCTACAGTTGCCTCTCTTTGTCACTCATGTCACACACTTTGGGTGAAACAGGCGGCAAACAAGTAGACACCTAAGGCATAGAGTCCTAGAAATACAGGGTTGAACAAAAAGATTCGAAGGAGAATGTTTTGCTAGAATATCTTACAATAGTCAACTAATGGTGCCTATGGTCTCTGAGTCCTGGAAGTGAGCTAAACCCATCTATTTGGGTGATCGTTGAGAGGTCCATTTGTCAGCAAGCTTAGGTTGTGGTATCAGATCAATTCATAAAAATGTTCACCAAAGGTTTGAAGAAAGTAATACAATATACAAAAAAATGGCTGACACCAATCGGCACAAAAAGGTCTTTAATAAAGGAGATTTTATGTGGGTATACTCAAAGAAAGAAAATTTTCCAATAGGTGACCACCACAAGCTCAAAGAAAAGAAGGTTGGACCATGTCGCATGCTTGAGAGGATCAATGATAACTCCTACAACCCCCCTTCAATGTGAAAGATCTCATTGAGTATTATGGTGTTTCGAATACAAACACGAAGGCGAGTTCTCTCGATCCCGGGGAGGATATGCCGGAGACCCAAAAGTCCAACATAGACTACTAGTTCCCATAAGCTTTGAATGGGGGAAAGAGAGTCGCAATGAACTTTAATTTCTAGATTTGGGAGTGGGAATAAACTTCGGAACTTCTGATTTTTTGGTAGGAAATCAAGTGGCTTTTAAAAGGCCATTAAAATGTGGAAACAACATGTATAAAAAGGATATGGTGCGCCATTTTCAATTCAAATTATATAATTTTCTTTTAAAAAATATAGCAATTTGCTTATAGCGTTTAGTAGAGCTTGTCTCCTACCTATTTTCTCTCTCTACATTCTCTCTTTATGGTTGTTTTTTTCTCACTAAGTTGTGGTACCTCCATTGCTTAGCTTCATCAGGCTCCCAACATAAATTGAGTGTGAAGATACATGGATGGGTCTTAAAATTTTAGGGCATTGAGAATTGTTGTGGCCCAACCGAACTGGGGAAAAATATTCTTAAATGCTAGAGAAATTTGAGGAACCCCCAAGAAAGACTTTACATATTTGCCAAGCAATCTTTAGCCACATTACTATGTTTCCAAAAATAGATTGAGCATGAAGAATGAATGCACGGGTCTTGAAGTTTTAGGGTGTTTACAATTGCAGCACCAGAACGCTGGCTAGAATCTGCCAAACCCCTCGCCCCCGCCAACCCTAACCGCCCCCCATCTCCCCCACACATTCTCCAAAAAAAAAAAAAAAGAAAAAAAAGAAAGAGGATATGTGCAATATGTGCATTCATGCTCATACAATCCATGTGCAGAAAATATGTCTATGTCGTTCTAATACACACGAAGAAGCATACGTAAATAAGTGGTACAGAGCAAGAAATATAGAAGTTTTGGGGAAAATTTGAAACTCATATTTGGGAAATAATTAATTTGCCAACCCATCTCCAATTATATTATCATCCCCACGTATATTGTTCACAGAACACGTAAGAAGAATGCCTTCGGGTTCATACTTGACTGTATCAGATTTTTGTCCTTTGAGCTAAGATGAACAAATAATGACACACAAAACGGTAGAGCTTGTGAAATTATGTGATGATGGAGAAACCTGCTCACACACATGTATGTCAAAGTTGTGTACCTTAATTGCAAACAGAGCAAAGTAGAGCTAGAGCAAACTTTCCCTTCGCTAGAAGTCATTTTGGTTGATGGACACATTACTTTGAGGCGTTGAAGAAGTCCTAGATGCCTATCAAAGATATCCCTAACTTGCCAACCAATCTAAAGCAATATTACCCTGCTTAGGATATGGATCTCAAAATAGACTGTGGTTGAAGAGTGAGTGGCATTTTACTCATATAATAATAATCATCATCATCATATTTTTTTTCCAACTATTTGAGGTTAGCTACATGAATCTTGGTCTGCCATTCTGCTCTTATGCTTACGTAATTAATAATGTACATTAAAGATATTTTGCTTGTGTTAACACTAAATAAGCAAAAGTAGTAGAGCTTAAGAAAAAGAAATTTATGGTACTGGAGAAAATTGTTCACAAAAAAATATATTTCGAATATGCTCACTTTACGCTAATACTAGTGCATATAAGCACACAAATCGGTAAAGCAAGAGAATAATCTAAGATGTTTAAGAAAATTAAATCAACCCCAAACATAAATTGACCTACAAAATCTGTAGTCATGGTAAACTCAAGAAGCATTCTCCAAATTACTTCGAGGAATATGTGCCTTCATGTACATATGCGTGCATGCAAATGTGTGTGAACTTTAGTATGCTACAAGACTATATATATATATATATATATATATATATATATATATATAT